TATTCCATAAAGCTTCTTTGGAATACATCTCCATGTATTTTCCCAGCCTGTATGTTAGATTAGTGAAGAGTAAAATGAAATAGTAACACTAATATTCTTCCATCTATACTTCAGGCAACTTTGATCCACACTGATCTTACCCTTCCAAAGTGACAAGTCCTCCTCTCCAACATCTGCAAAAAACCTTGTCTTGATAAACTGGGTGCAATAGTTTTCATTTCTTCAAATGTGCTGAAGACATCCACTGAAAACAGCGTGTCAGCATTCACAGATGCTGGCCAGTACCCACTTCTTATTAGGTCACTCATGTCAGGTGTCCACTGTGCCAGACATACTTTGCACAACAAGTTTGGCAAATGCAAATCATACCGACCTAAAATTACAATATAGAACAACAGTTGTTGTTTTTTTAACAAACAAAGGAACAAAAATTAATTCAAATATGTAAAGTATATTTTATGTCAAGTACCGTATTGTCGCGAATATAAGACAATATTTTTTTCTTGGAAATACATCTGAAAAAATGCGGTCGTCTTATATTCAGGGTCTAGACTTTGACATGTCAATAATACACCCACAACAATAGGTGGCGCCAAATACGCATAAAACGAGTGTGCCATGAAATACGTAATGTAATGCGTGTTGTAAAGATCGCGAGTAAAAACAAAAGAAAAAGAAAACCTTACAGCTGCATGAATCCTGACTGTCACGTTAGCATGATGGGACCAAATCGCGAGTGAAAACAAAAGAAGCAGAAAACCTTACAGCTGCATGAGTCGTGACTGTCACGTTAGCCTGATGGGACCAACTCTACTTCTACTGTTAATAAGATTTTGGTAGGCTACTATTAGATGGATAGCCTAATGTCCTAATTCAGATGGGCTACCTGTTTTTTTTTTAAAAATTTTATGGTATATCAAAAAGTGTATATTTTTTTTAATGTGATTGTTGGTACATTTTACCAGTTTTTACCATACTTTCAAAACAAAAATTAAAATAGGAAAAATATGCAATATGAAAATAATTGAAGACAAAATGTGTTTTACTGAGAAAAAAATAAGATTTGGTTTTTAAAAAGCCTTTTTCCAAAAGGTACATCTGGAGAAAGGGGGGGTCGTCTTATAATCAGGGTCGTCTTATATTCGGGACAATACGGTATATTAAAAAATTATTGCTCTGCCAGCTGGTTCTGTGATGTTTACAGGGTCACAAGTGCATACATGGACAGGTCTCACTGTAGGCAATAAACGCACTGAAAAGAAAAGTTAAATAATCAGTGAGAAAGCATAAAAAATATGTCCAATTATGATTGTAATTTAAATAAAAGCTTTAAAAAAAACATAACTTTAGCCACTTTACCAAAAAGGTTCAAAACACTACCTTGATTGACCAGTGTATATTTGCCATCTTTTTTTACACAGCACACTGTTGGCTCAATGGGCTTGTAAATTCCCTCAGTTTTTTGCATATGTGTATGTCACACTCCATACACAGCCAGTCTTCTGCATGCAGTCTTTGCAGCGAATGATGGCCGGAGATGTGCAGCGGCTGCAGTTCTGCTCTGGAACCACACTGCAGGACAGCAAGCCGTTTATGTGATAGGACCTTGCTTTCAGCCACTCCTCTTGGGCTACAGACTGGCGCAAACACCATGATTTGGATGTTGAAGGATACTTGTTTGTGCCTTGAACATTTGCTAAGGTCAGAATGTCCTGCAATTTCTGCATCTCACTGTCTGAAAGAAAAATATATAATTCCTTTCAGGCTTATTGCTAACTTGCTTAGTTACAGTAAGGTGACATCTTACCAAGTAAGTGTTCAGAGCAGTTTGATTGGGTAACTGTGGGAACCTCCGTAGCTGAATCAAAAGGAGTAGCGTCCTCACTGCCAACCACAGATACAACTAAAAAATTAGTTAGAAAGAAAAGAGATAACACTTTTTTTTTGGTCTTACTAGCATATAATACAACAGGGGTTCTCAACTCTGGCCCTTGAGATCCACTTTACTGCAGAGTTTAGCTCCAACCTTGATCAAATTCACCTGCATATAACTCTCTAGTAATCCTGAAAACCTTGATTAGATTATTCAGGTGTGTTTGATCATGTTTGGAGCTAAAGGCCCAGAGATGAGAAACCCAGTAATACAGTAGGCACATTTCCATTACCCTTCAAATTGTGCAAATTGAAATTGCGAATTAAAAATACGCCTAATGGAAACGCGTCACTTTCACAAAAACGGCCATATATCGCAAAAAAGTTTTTACGCTCGC